TGTCAAGGACTCTAAAGAGCAGGGGGCTAGCTCTGGTAAGGCAGACAGCCTCCCGCCATTCACAGCCACAGTTCAGGAGCAGCAGAACGCGGTGAAAGAAATTGTAAGTCTTGCGGTGCCTTGAAACCATTTTGCAGCTAAACCCCCACAGGGTCCCTTGCACCAGGCTGTGTAAGAGCTGCACAGAAGGGATTTGCCCATACAAGGATTGTGCTACAGCACGTGCCTGCTTGGGTGCTCAGAGAGAGCCCCTGGCCCTGTCTGTCCAGAAAAGCCATCTCACAGGAGTCCTTTGCCTGCGGGCTCTCTCCTGTCACTGAGCATAGCAGGTAGCTGATGGGCTTAAGTGTGGCAGGGAGGCTATGCATCCAGCTGGAAAGGAGCGAGGCAGAAGCCACTTAAGCACTGCCTGAGACTCCACAGGCCTGGCCTGAGAGGAGAGGTGGCCAGTGACACCTTGATACATGCCAAGAGCAGCAGCAGGGTCTCCGAGCCGGCACCATTGGGTGCCACAGGGAAGCTGGTGGTGGTGCTGCTCAGAGCTGGGTGATGAAATACAAGGGACTGGCTTACCCCATCAAGGCTAATGAAAGCTGTGTCCCAGCCTGCCCAGCGCTCTGCCTTGTAATCTGCATCTCAAATCAGCCAAGGGAGTCTGTCCTTAGGCAGGGACAAAAAGCCTTTAGGGACATGCTGTGTAATTAAGAAGGTTAAAAGTAACCCTGCCCCAAAATGCGAGGAGAGAAACTGGGGAGGTTGGGGCTACCATGAAGACTAGCGGCCCAGTGGGCACAGAGCTGAGTTCGGGGAGCAAGGCCAGCATTCAGTTGCTGACTGTCTCGGACGTGCTGGGTGACCTTGGGTAACTCATTTTTTCTCTGTTTCTTGGTTTCCTGACTTGAAAAATTACCTCAGTGTCCCCTGTAAAGTGCTTGGCAATCTGTGTGCCAAAAAATAATAGATGAGGCTCGAGTGCTTTGTTTGCTCAGTCATTTCTTAGGCTTATTATGTGGACAGCGTTATGTGGTCCTCTCTGATCCCACCTGGACTGTGATTCTTCTTGCCAAGGACTAGCAGTAGTAAAACGGGACAGGAGGGAGGAGGCCTGGGAGCTGAACATGTGGGATCTATTCCCAGCTGATCCCTTTGGCAGCTCAGGCTCACTAGCTCGGCTCCCCTTTTGTGAAACAGAGATGCACACCGTGGCATGGGACAGCAAGAGCTCTGTCTGGGTAATGCCAAAGCATCCTGTCCTGTCCGTAAGGGCACTTCTGGTGTCTAGGTTGCTGACACTCACCCACAGACAGGCTGGGGTTGGGGCTGTAATTAACAGGAGATGAGAAAAGCTTCTCTTGGCTCTGTGTTACTGCAGCCTAGATCCCCTTCTGCCCTCTACTGATGGAGAACTAATGGCTCCTCTGAGCACGGCCATGAAAGCACAATTTCTTAATGTAAGGTCTCCTGCTAGTTTGGGGTTGGTGAGAATAAGGCTGGAAAGACCTTGCTTAGTCTTTCCCTTGCCTCTGGGGGCAACCAGCTGTGCTGGAGCTTGCCAGCACAGCCTCAGCTTGCCAAGCGGAGCTCTGCACGCTGCAGCGCCGACTCTTACTCACCAAGTTTGTGTGAGACAGAGTTGAGTTGATTTTTAAGAGGCATCTCAAGGCCCAACGCAAGCAATCTGCTTTACAGGTGATCGCCAACATGACCACAGCCTACAAGCGGGAGCGGAAGAGTGTTAAAAGGAAAAGTCGGGGCCTGCCCTCTCTTGCTTTCAAAGTGGAAGACAATGTGTTTGGGAGCAACGCTGCCAGCTCCCTGAAGAAGCTGAAGAAGGGCCAGTTTGTGTCGTTTCAGATCGAGACAGTCCTGCCGCCTGAGCAGAGTTTGTCTGGCGTGAAGAAAACCAGTTAGCCTCTGGGGCTTTTTTGGGGGTCCAGTAGCATGAACTGTCCTCGAGGTTTGTGGCCCAGCTGCGTGTGAGTCCAGGGTGCAGATGTGCCTGCTCTGTCCTGGGGAGAAAGGAAGGGGAAGGTTCAGACAAGGGTGTCTGTTCAGTCCCTTCCCGGTCCAGATTTGCCCTTGGACCATCCCTCCGACTGAGGGAAGTGGCACCATCCTCATTTACGCTTTGGCAGCGAGGGACTCGGTCTTGTCAAAAAGCTCCACCTTGACTATGGCTTGGAAATTGCCCCTTTGGGAGTAATTGCATCAAAGCCCGGGGAGTGATCTGGGTGCATGAGAAGAGAACCAGAAACTAGACCTGGCTTAGCCATGTTGCAGTATGTTTCCTACAGCTTAAAAACATCTTCCCCACTGTCAGCCTGAACTGGGAGGAGTCACACCAGGTCTGACTGCATTCCTGGTGGACGTGGGAATGGCTTGAAGTGAACTTTTTTTTTTTTTTAGTTTTAAGCACTAATTAGCAGAAATAAAATCTACAATAGAATGTGATATTTTTATTTTTGGTTATCCGAGCAGAGAAAAATGAATTTTTTCTTTGTAACGTCACCATTCTGTTCTCTCCAGAAATGAAGTGAACTACAGGAAGCCTGTAGTCTGTTCCTATGCTGGCGAGGCTTATAGAGGTGTTTTTAAGCCCAGTGCTCCAAAAATGCAGGGAAACTTTGGGATAATGATACCGACCAGCCCCTCTCTCACCTATATAGCCCAGCTGGATGCACAGATGCTGCCCAGGGAGGAGCCTGAGCACTAATATCTCTGCAGAGCTGGCGTGGGGACTTGAAGGGGAAAAATAATTTATAAGCTGGATTTCTTGAAACTGGATCCCTTTCTGTGTTAGGGGTTAATTTAAACCCCTGTTGAGACCCTGTTTAGGGGTTAATTTAAAAAAACGATGTTGAGCCCTTGTCCTGGTTGTTTTTAAAGCCAACTTGTGTGTTGTATTTTCCCCCTCTGCTGCAGAAATTAAATAAAACCAATAAAATAATATACAAATTAAAAATAAAAAAAAACCCAAACAATTTATTTTTGGGGAAAAAAAAAAAAAGCAACTTTCTAAGCTGGCGAGAACCCTGGGGCTGCCTTTGCTGGGTCGGGGCAGGGCGGGAGCGGGGGGCCGGGTCCCCCCCGGCGGGCAGTGCCCCCGCCGGGGGGGGGTGCCCGGTCCCGGTCCCCCGCTCCCGCCCTGCCCCGTTAAACCGCGGGCGGGGCCGGGACCGCGCCGCAGCGAGGGGGCGTGGCGGTGGTGGGGCGTGGTTAGCACGGAAGCCACGCCCCCTGCCGACCTTGTTCCCGGGACGCGCCGCCGGGCCGGGCCGGGCCGATCCCCGTTGCTGCTATCGCCGCCGGTAAGATGCCGTCCGGGCGGGTCGGGGCTGCGTTGTCATTGCGCTGCAAAGGGAGAAACCGTGTGTGTGTGTGTATGTCCGTCTGTCCGTCCGTCTGTCTGTGCCTTGCTATGGCGGGCACGGCCCTTCTCGGGTGTCTTCCCCGGGAGGAGCATCTCGTACGGGGGGGGAAGCAGGGGCGAGGCTGGGGACCTTCAGCTTTGTAGCTGGGGACACCTTTGCGGGTGGCAGGGAGCGGCGGTGGCGGCCTCCTCTCCCTCCTCCTCCTCCTTCTCTTCCTCCTCTCCCTCCTCCTCCTCCTTCTCCACCGGGCCGGATCCGCGCAGCTTTGCAGCGGATGGCAGCGGCGAGCACCCTGGGAAGCGTGTCCAGCTCCTCCCTGACACCGCTGCTCTGGTTCGCCTCCATCCCTCCTTCCCCACCCACCCCATAAACCCCTTTTCTTCTCCAGATTGCAGCCTCTGCCCCGTTTTCCTCCACTTTTTAGCTCTTTTTATCCCACCTGCCCAACCACCGAGCCTCTCGCGGCCAAGGATGCTGCTTGGCCAGTGCCGAGGACTGCCCTTTCCCCCGTGGTTTGCTTTCGGGCGGCTGCGGAGGCGGCTGCGGTCACGCAGGCCGGAGCGTGGCCAGCACACGGCATCCTTTGTGCCATGCCTTCCGCACCGTGCGCTGTCATGAGCTGCTTGGCCAGCATGAATCTGAGGATCGGGCACCTCCCTCGTGCCGACGCGTGGCACCTCTGGGCATGGCACAGGAGCAGGTGAGCAGCTCACTTGGCTTAAAAGAAGTCGAGATTTTTGCCCTTTTCTGTGTCAATTCAGATCCAGCTCCACCATCGCTGCTGCCAGTCAGACCCATGGGCAACAGTAAAGGTGGCATCCCACGCTGAAGCCTCCCTCTCCCACGGGACCCAGCTGTGGATTTCCAACCCCTTTTTAACTTCCTCTTGGGATTTTTTGTTGTGTCGCTGAATTGCACACTGACAGTGCAGTAGGTTTAGTAGGTTACCCCAAATTAATATTTAAGAGGGCTGGGGACAGCAAGGTGTGACAGGCTGCTGTACCTATGATTTACTCTTTTTTTGATGAGGGGGGTCTGTTACAAAGCTGAGCTGCTCTCCCTTCTGCTTCCATATGGTTTTGTTTGAGTGCTCGGTTTCAGTTTTGTGCTGGAAAGGTGGGGAGGGACTCTCAGATCCCGAATGTCCAAGTTTAACACCAACACAGCCCTGTAGCGCAGGACACGCGAGCTGCACAGATGTCCCAGCATTACCCAGCTGCTGGGGACCTCCCAGCTGGCCTCGCAGCAGCCACAGCAAGTGGGGACAAAGATTCCCACCAAGATGTGCAGATTTCTGCTTTGGGATTCCGGATGGGTGGAGACTTCTGAGAGGAAAGCTTGTCTTCATTTGTGCTTCTCATTTTATGAAATATCTTGGAGCGTATGCAGCAGGGGAGGGGAGGAAGGAGTAGATAGTGGTGTCTGGGGTCAGGACGGGCTGGTGGGGAGCTGACACAGTTGGTCCCCGCATCCTGCTTCCCCTTCCCCGCCACCTCCCTAGGGTGCATAACAACCCCATCCCCCTCTTCTTGCCCTGCAGCAGAGGCCAACATGACCACGTCCTCCCCGTGCTAGGGCTGCCCACCACCACCTCGGTGACCCCCCCCCGGCCCCAGCCCAGCAGTGAGGATGCGTGCCTGGAAGGCGGTGGCCAGCACGCTGGCATTCAGCGGGGCCGATGTGGTGGTGACCACGCTGCTCTACGCCCACGGCCGGGGTGGCCGGGATGTCCTGCAGGACCTGAAGCACTTCAACATCTTCAACTCACTGCTGGACATCTGGGGGGGCTGCCTGTACCGCAGCTGTGTGCTGCTGGGGGCCGCCATCAGGGTGGCCACCAACACGGCCTATGGCCCCCGGCGCCTCAGGGCATCGCGGACCTTCATCGCCGTCGTCTGCCTCCTCATGGGCATCTACATGATGGTGAAGCTGCTGCTCTACTCGGAGGTGCGGAGGACCATCAGGGACCCCTGGTTCTGGGGGCTCTTTGCCTGGACCTACGTGGCACTGGTGGCCACCTTCGGGCTGTGGCAGCTGCTGGCCTGTGTCACCTCCTCCCGTGAGGCGCTGGGGCCCAGCTCTGAGTCCCGTGCCGAGGTGGAGGAGAGCTGCGACGGGGGCACCCCACGGGACAAGCGGGAGGAGGCAGCAGGTCCCACCATCCATAAACTGCTGTCCTACACCAAGCCGGATGCCTTCTTCCTGGGCATCGCCTCCTTCTTCCTCCTCGTGGCTGCGCTGGGTGAGCGAAGGGACCGGGGAGGGGGGGCTGCAATGTGCTCCCATCCTCACCGGGAGGGAAGGAGCCATGGGGGGGGCTTGGTAGCACCGCAGGGTTGCTGTTTTGGGGGTGCTGTGTGGCACGTCCTGCATGGGCTGGGTAAAAAATGCAATGGGGCAAAAAAATACACAATAGGGGATAAAATACACTGGGAAATGAAACATCTCTATGTGCCACTAGGGGCTGCACCTCCTGCGACATCTCGTACAATGGCCAAGCATCTCCGTAGTGGGGATGGGGTTGTCCATGGGCCATCGCAGTTGGAAATACAGGTCCTGTGCTGATCCTGCATGGTGGGGCTGAAACCCCATGTCCTGTGCTTGTCCGGCAGGAGAGACCTTCCTGCCCTACTACACGGGGCTGGCCATCGACGGCATCGTGGTACAGAAGAGCATGGACCGCTTCTCCACAGCAGTGCTGGTCATGTCACTGCTCGCCATAGGAAGGTAATCGCAGGGTCTGGTTTTGGCCCTGACAAGGAGTTTGGGGTTTTCCTGCAGGAACTTGCGGTAGCGGTGGGCATGGGCTGTCTCACCTGCAGCTGCTCCGCCAGGTCCCTGCCAGACCCCAGGAATGCACTTTGATTTCTCTGCGCCGTCACGGTGCAGAGAGGCCGTGGTGGCAGTCACAAGGCCGTTGCGTAGCACTCCAAGTCTGTCTGCTGGTGGAGGGGGAGCAGGAGCAGGAGCAGGAGCAGATACAGGGAACGGGGTCCCTGGGGAACACTGTCCCGGCAGCGCTGCATCTCCTCCCAAAGCTCGTCACTACTGGGGTTAGGACCAGCCATCCCTGTGCTGGTAGCATGCAGAAGAGGTGTGGGCTGGTTTAGCCATCACTTCCCGGGGTGGAAAGTGGTACCAGCGCAGCATTGCCCAAGCCCTTGGCCCTGGCATCGGGGTGTTTGTGTTGCTGAGGAGCGGGTTTCATGTCCATTGGTCTATAACGTTTCTTATCTGCAATTAGCTCATTTGCCGCAGGTATCCGGGGCGGCGTTTTTACGCTCATATTTGCAAGACTGAACATTCGCCTTCGCAACTGCCTCTTCAGGTCGCTGGTGTCTCAGGAGATGAGTTTCTTTGATGAGAATCGCACAGGTTGGTTCCTCTTTCTCCCGGATTTGCTCTAACACCTCTATCCCATCCCGGTGTTTTTTTCCCCTTGCCTTGCCCTACCAGCACGCGGCAGACTGGGGGCAGCCAGAGACAGCACACAAGTGCTCATGTTTAGAAATAGTGGCAGAAAGCTCTTCCCTTTTGGTTACCTCCCACCATGGGGTTGGGACAGGATTGCCCACCACCCTGGGGATATCCCATTGCCACCGATCAGCCTGATACCCAGCAGTCCCAGTGCTGACATGCTTATCACCAGTCATCCCCAAAACACCTACTTTCCTCCTCTGGTACCTCCCATCAGTGCCTGCTGGTCAGCCGCTCTCCAGCTCTGCTCCAGGCATGAGAAACCTCAGACGTGTGAAGCTTGCTGGGTGTGCTTGTTGCTTTCTCTGCTTGCAAATCAGTCCTGTCCCGGTCCATGCTGCTCTGGTGTGGTCCCAGCCCACTGTAACTTGTCGCACATTTAATTTCATCTCGGCAGTATTTTTAGTTTTGAGGCTGTTGCCATATTTAGCAATCACTGCACAGTGCCCTGGTAGCTGAGGACACCAGAGATGTTATTGTAAGTGGGATATGGGTAACCCTGGACTTACACAAAAGCATGAGAATTCAGCCGTATGCAAACACAGGACAAGTATTAGGAACCCAGGGTGATGTTTGCTGGCTGTAATGTTCAGCTCCACCAAAGGGCACAGCAGGAGCTTCACCCCTTAGTAGCTGGACCCGTGTCCTCAAGGCCACTTGGGTTGTCTCCAGGCTGCAGGGCACGTGGCTAAACCCAAACAGCCCTCTCCAAAGCCACGTCATGCTCCTCCGCAGGGCATACTGTGCCTGGCCCTGGCTGGTCCTGCCAGGACAGCGAAGAAAGGTGCCAGCAGTCCCTGGTGAGCTCCTGGAGGGCTCCTGATGTCATTTAGAAATGAACTTGGGGTTGGGTTGACAGCTCTGGAGGTGCATTCAGCAGCCCAGCAAACACTCCACCCAAGCACCTGCTGCCCATTTGTGTGCCTATGGGGTGCCCTCCAGTGTAGGGTGCTGCTGCAGTCCCCTTTGCTGTCCTGCAGCCATCCTTGGTGACCCAGGGATGTAGCTCGTGCCTTCGGATGCATTTCATGTCCCTCGTGCATGCAGCCATTCAAGCTCCTCTGTTTTGCTTTGCATCCACAGTGGTGGAGAGTCGCTCCCCTTCCATGCCACCTTTCAGACCCCCAGTGAGGGGCTGGGTTGAATGGGGAGATCCATCTCGCCCCAGGCACGGGACATGGGATGCGGCTAGGCAGTGACCTGCTGTGGTGACATGTCCCCACTCTCCCCTTCCCCACTCCGTCGCTGCTGCAGGGGATGTCATCTCCCGCCTGACGTCGGACACAACCATCGTGAGCGACCTGGTCTCCCAGAACATCAATATCTTCCTGCGCAACGTGGTGAAGGCCACGGGGGTGATCTTCTTCATGTTCAGCCTCTCCTGGAAGCTCTCGCTCGTCACCTTCATGGGCTTCCCCATCATCATGCTGGTGTCTGATGTCTATGGGAAGTACTACAAGGTAGGCAGGAGCAGCTGGCATGGCCACGGTGTGCCACAGCACTGGGCTGTTCCCCTCGTGAAGCCATCATGGAGATTGTGGGTGGCCTTGGAGCTGGTGGGACTGATGCTCGAGTGCTTTGCCACTGGCAGCGGGGATGGGAAGGCAGCATTAAACCTGTATGGGCAGGCAAGCGTGGCCTCGGCTCTTACCTTGCTTCATGCTAAGGAGTGGAAGCATCTGGGGTCTGACCAAAGAGGTAGCTCGGATGTGGGATGTCCTGTATGCACCTACCTGTCCTCGTGCAATCTCTCCTCTCCCTTTGTCGTGACTCGGTGGGGGTTAAACCCAGTGCCGAGCTCCCTCCCTCTGCCCAGGGCTAATGTGGTTCAAGGGCTGTCCCTAATGCCGCATCACATGAACCACGTGAGTCCTGCAGTGGTGCTCCCTGCGTCAGTTATTGGTGCTTTCCACTGCGCCAGGGACACAGCGTGCACAGGTCCTGCCAAAACAGGGTCCTCGGGTGCTGCCTTGCCTGGCCGCACCTCCTCCTGCAGGTCAGGCACTCGTGGGAGGAGTGGAGCTGCCCTTGGTCTCCAGACCTGTCCCTGACTTGGAAACTCCTGGAAGGGCTCCTTGGGCCAGGCTGACCCTGTCCCGTCAGGGCACTGGGAGCAGCAGCTCTGCCGCAGGCTTCCCAAGTGGCCCTGGACATGGCACTTCACCTCCTGCAGCCCAGGTCCCTCCTTGGGGACAGCACAATGAATCTGTTCTCCTCCTGGCACAGCGTCCCAGGCTGTCCTAAGGTGTGGGATATATCCCAGTGCTCAGCCTTGTTGCCCATGGCGTTGGAAAATGTCACCATGCCTTCTTTGCCCGAGCCCAGCAGAGCCCGGGGCGTGTGGGAAGATGTGCCACGGGCAGCCTGGTGCCTGCTGAGCCCCCTCTGCCTCCCCCTGCTCCCTGCAGAAGCTTTCCAAGGATGTGCAGAATGCCCTGGCCAAGGCCAACAACACTGCCGAGGAGACCATCTCCGCCATGAAGACTGTCCGCAGTTTTGCCAACGAGGAGGTAGAGGCAAACGTATACTGGCAGAAGCTGCAGCAGGTGTACAAACTCAACAAGCGGGAGGCCATGGCTTACACCTACTACATCTGGTCAAGCGGGGTAGGTGGCCGGCACCGGGGTTTCCCTACACAGGGCTAGGGACAGGCAGGGGACATTGCTTCAGATCCCAAAATGCTCATGGCACAATGCATGTGCTGCTTCTCCGCTTCCAGGGAGCTTTGCCGTGTGAGCCTAGCCTTGATGTCCGCTGCCAGTAATCCTCTGTCTCTTGATTATTACTTTTTTCCACTCATCAGAAAATATATTCCATTCCCCCTTAGGGCAGCGCTGCATCGTGCCACCGAACAGTCTGTTTTCTCTTGCAAATAAGAATATAATTGATAACCACTCAAGGTCGTGGAAAACCCCGTGCTTCTGTGTTGCTGCATTGCGTGCCTGTGCCAGCTCATCTCCGGGGCTCCGGCTGGGAAACAGCCGTGGCGTTGGTTGAGCTTCTGCTCAGAAATGGAGATTTTCTGCGTGTGGGTGGTGGCAGGGGGAGGATGCTGGGGTTTGGGGTATTTTGCAGGTTTTGTTGTTTGGTTTTTTTTACAAAATCCTATTTCATAATTTAAGACTAGATGGTTTGGGACTTCTCCTGCATCGGCTGATAACTAAGGCTGTGCAAAACCCTCACGTGAGGCTGCCCTTATCTCTACACATTCAAGGATCTACATAGCCTCTGGTGAAGGGTTTGTGAGTTATGGTGCCCTCATGCAGCCATGGGAGACTTTATGGCTTCCCAAGTCTGAAAGCAAAATCAGAACATTTTTAGCATTGTTCCTGGGCTCCCAGGTGAAGCCAGAGCGTGAACTGGGTCAGCACAGATCCCGCCGAGCCAAAGAAGGCAAAAACCCTCAAAAAGTGCTCCTGCAGGGCTCATGTAGAAAGAAGCCGATGGATTTAGCACAGCCCTGGTAGAGTCTTTCTCAGAGGGAACACAGGATCTTAAGGTCAGATCACAGCAGAGCAATAGAGGAGGATTTTTTTTCCCCCAGTATTTTTGTCTGTGTGAATTTACAGCCTGTTCCACAAACATCGCACAGAGCACCAGGGCATTGCTGCTTTTCTGAGCACCTGGGCAGCATGGAACAAAACTAGCTGAATAAAGGCAGGGGCTGGTATTTGTCATACCAGAGCTGATCTGTCTCCTTTCTGGAGTAGGTGGTACCCCCCACACTGATTTCAGGCAAGAGTTGAGGTTATGCTTCAGGGACTTGTACAGGCAAGGAGGATTTTTTGCATTAACTCTTGGCTTGATTTTGTGTTCTAAATTAAACTGTGTCACACTCACATAACAGAAAGTTTATTTTAGTGGTGAGGTGACTGCATGTGTTGGATAATTTGAGCATAGATTATTACGCTTGAGGACATTAGTCCAAGACAGAAGTTCATGAGATGCTCTGTAATTTCAGTTGAATTCTCCCTCCTCGGCTGTTGTGCCTCTGGACTTCTGTTTTGTTGAAAGATGCCAGCCCAGCTCCTTAAATCAGCCCATGTACTTGAGTTTCTTTTCCCTTCTTATATACATGCTTACTGCCAGGGCTGTCAGCTGTGCGCTGTCAGGGATGCTCAGTTCGGAGCTCAAAGAATAAATGTCAGCACATGAATTGTGGGCTGTTGTGTGAGTAATTACAAATGCACCAAAATACCAGTTGTCCTTGCTGATTTTAGGGTGTTTTCTTGCTTTCAGCTGACCCTCCTGGTGGTCCAGGTCAGCATCCTTTACTATGGTGGGCACCTTGTGATCTCAGGGCAAATGACAAGTGGAAACCTGATATCCTTCATCATTTACGAGTTCGTCTTAGGAGACTGCATGGAGGTGAGTCTGTTTTATCATTCTGGGCTACCCCATATCAAGATGATGTTTATCTTCCAGAAGGTCCCAGGGCAGTCACAGGGCTAGATCCAGTGTTGACCTTCCTGTGATGCACTTCCTTGGCACTGTGGCTTTGCCCACCGGTGGGCTGATTTTCCCCTCTGATCACCACTCCCCTCCTGCTGTGGCCTCGCAACCTGAACGTGCCCAGAGCAGCTCATCCCCCAAAAAGGCAATCGGGACCAAAAGGTTCAGGCTAGCCCCACTGAAGGGCAAAGTCCTGGCTGCCTCCCAAGCACGTTTCCTGGCGTGAAGGATGCAGGGATTATGAAGCTGCCTGTTAAATTTCAGGTTTCATTAAAAACTTAATTATATTACTTTTTTTTTCCTGGAATAGGCTGCAAGCTGCTGCGTTGGCAGTGTGTTAGCAAGATGGGATTGTGGGTGGGATGGTAGAGCCCACCAAGGGCTGCCTTTCCCTTGCAAAGGCGTAAGCTTGGCTAATCGAGGCAGAAATGATCAAGTCGAGGTTTCCTCGCAGCCAAGCATGGTTTCGGCAGTGCTTCAGCCGTTGTGCAGCGGCAGAGCAAAGCTGGAGGCAGCTTGCCTGGCTCTCACCATCTGTTCAGATGACTGCAGGCTCTGGTGGTGTTTCCAGGCTGTGGTTTTGGTGTGGGTTTGGTTTGGTTTGGTGGGTTTTTTTCTCTCCTGATGGGAGGGGCAGTTGCAGTACAAGCTGTTCTGCAGCTCTGGGCTTAATATTGAAAAGAGCTGACGTGATGGGGCTTTATTCCAGGGAAGCTGGTGTCAGCTTGCAGCGGTTGTAGTTGGGAAAGTGCAATGGTAAATCCACTAGGACCATATCCCAGAAGGGAACAGCCTTATCAGCTGCCAGATGGTTGTCTAGAAGGGTCCAGCCTGGAGCTGCTCTGCGTTTGAGACATGTGTGCTAGGGAGTGAACCAGCCACCCTTGGGGGCTGGTGCAGTGTGCTGCTGTACGTGGACTCTGTTGGGTTGGGGAGCTGCTGGTCCTGAGCAAAGAGAGACAAATAGAGGATTTTGCTGGAAGTTTGGAAGTATCTCCTGGCACATGTCTTCTATTCCAATCCATGTGTTTACCTCTTCTGTTCCCCTCTGAGTCTACCCATGCACAAAACCCCCTTAGATTCCCTTTCCCTGGATACATCCATATATCCCCTCCATACCCTGCAGAGGGGGAAGAGCTTTCTTTTCCTGTGTGTGATGACTGTAGTTAATGTCAGATGATAGAAAACTTGGGAATGCTTCAACCATTCTCCTTAGGAGTGGCACTGATTGACTTTTCCATTGCATGGGAAGGTCTCACCATTGCCTCTTCCCTTCCAGTCCATCGGCTCTGTCTACAGCGGCCTGATGCAGGGAGTGGGAGCTGCCGAGAAGGTGTTTGAGTTCATCGACCGCAAGCCAACGATGGTGAATGATGGGTCCCTGGCCCCAGACCATGTGGATGGGAAGGTGGAGTTCAGAAATGTGACGTTTTCCTACCGCACTCGCTCTGCAACACAGGTCCTCCAGGTGAGCCTCACGGGTGCAGAGCCCTCCCCGCCACAAGGCATCACGCTCTGCTTCTCCATTGCAGCAATAACTGATCCCTGGCCTGCAGGAAATGTCAGCTGCCCTTTTGGAGATGCGTGAAGGCAGGCTCAGTGGCATGCTGGAAAACAGATTAAAAGGAACAGCGGGTGTTTAGGGCTGGCCTTCCTTACAAGGAATGAGATTTATTAATAAAACCCTTGTTTTCCACTCAGGCATTAAACACATCAGCATGGTACAGGGCTGTGTGCCAAGCTGCCTCGGACTGTTTCCATGGGAGAGGGGCTGGGGTCATGAGGCAGGGGGAGGCAGCAAAGAAGTTAGTTTGCTTTGCAGTTTTTAGAGGTCCTGCTACATCAGTGGGCAAATTTGAAGCCATTTTGGAGGCTTCTTGTTCCCTCAGAGCCAGGAGAGATGGCTGATGTGGCACATCACCAAGGTGGAGGGTCACTGTGGCTGGATTTTTGGCTACCTTTCTTGAGTAGTGCCAAAGCTGCTGCCCCAGGACACTGGGAAGAGCCAGGACCTGAGCATGCTCTACCATCCATGTTGCAGAATGTGTCCTTCACCCTGCACCCCGGCAAAGTGACGGCGCTGGTGGGTCCTTCGGGGAGCGGGAAGAGCTCCTGTGTCAACATCCTGGAGAATTTCTACCCTCTGGAAGACGGGCAGGTGCTGCTGGACGGGCGTCCCATTAATATGTACGATCACAAGTACCTGCACTCAGTGGTACGAGCGACTGATAACGTGTATTCTAGCTATTGCCTGCTGTGATCAGAGGGGATGGATGGTAGTGTTGCATGTTGCTTTGGATTTGCTCTGGCAACTTCTGCAATGTCCAGAAAACTGAAGGCTGGAGGTGGTCCAGGAAATGAATTCAGATAATTCGTGGGGGCGGAAGGGAAAGGGATGGAGAGTGGTTTCATGCGGAGGGGGAAGCCTTCCAAAAACAGAACAAAAACCATGTTTTGTTTTGTATTTTTTGGCCAACGCAGTAGAAATGTGGTTTTGGTTATTGGATTAATTACCATCTAAATTGGGTTTAGAAAAAGAGTTTTGCATTCCTCCAGCACTTTCTACCTTAAGATCTTAAATTAATTCTCAGGTAATGGGGAGTTAAACCTCTCTGGATCCTGGCAGCAGCTGGAGCACAAAAGGGGCTGGGTGGTTTGCCTAGGAGAGGGGTTTGGGCCCCTCGGCTCTCGTCTGTGTGTCAGCACAGATCACCCTTCATCTCCTCTGCAAGTAACTGCCTTCTTTGTTTGCCCCCAGAGCGAATGGCCTCACCAATCAGCAGGAAAACGTGAAAACAATTGATCAGAGACGGGCTGGAAAGCCAAAGTCAGTGTGACTAATTCACATTCCCTGCCCGTACAGAGCGAAAATTAAAAGACAAGCTAGTCTTTCAGTTTAGAAAGCCTGGTGTGGTGTTAGGAGCATGGGGAGAAGTCAATTAAAATATGATTGTGTCCTGATGGCTGTCTTCATGCCCAGTTCTGAGCAATAATTTGGAGGGTTCAATTTATGTCAATATTGAGGGTTTGACAAAGCAGGCTGAATGCGAGAGTGAGCAGCAACGGCTCTAAGGTAGGACAGGGAGGCTGTTGCTAAGCAATTAAGGAATTGCAGCAGCTATGTCCCTAACTTGCTAATTTTGGATTAAAAGATTCAGGAGGGCTCATTCGCGTGGCCGAAGCATGATTACTGGCCTTGAATGGAAAATCAGCAAGAGCCTGGGAGAGGGTCTCTCCAGCCTGCCTTGTCCCAGCAACTGGTTTGCCATTCTGGGAAGAGCAAACAGTGACAGGGATGACAGGTCTGGAGCAAAGACACAGCAGGGTCTTCAGGGAGGAAGTCCGTCCCAGATGCCAAAGTACCAGCACTGCATCAGGTTTCTTTTCTGCAAAATGGCTTCCCAGCAGATGATGCAAACTGGGCTGGGGCTGCCCCTGGGCACCCCATCATTAGCATCCTCACTGGAAGCTCACATTGAGGCACTTCTGTATTGTGATTTAATGGTGGGGCTCTGCCCATTTGAGTCCTTACCCAGCAGCAACAAATGCCGATGATCCGAGATACTGGCCGGCGCGTCTTCTGCTTCCAACCCCCTGCTCTTCCCTTCCTTTCTGCAGATCTCCCTGGTGAGCCAAGAGCCGGTGCTGTTCGCCCGCTCTATTGCAGATAATATTTCTTACGGCTTACCCTCAGCCTCCTTTGAGTCGGTTGTTCAGGCTGCCCAGAAGGCCAACGCGCACGCCTTTATCACGGAGTTACAAGATGGCTACCACACAGGTACCAAAATCCCTCCTTCAATGCACTTGGAAAGCATCACCTAGGGAAGGCAGAGACTCTCCACTTGGGTGGAAAGTCAGGCAGATAGTGACGGACACGAGTTCGTGGCAGCTTGGTGATGGCGTAGAGCAGCTACATGGAGAGGTGCAGCACCCTGGCGGCCTTTTGGGGCATCCCAGGAGACTGTTTCTGCTGCTGCTCTGTGGCAGCGGGGTGAGTGTCCCCCATCCCATCCAGACTGGTCCAGCTCCTGGTGCCTGGCAGTGTTATGGAGATGTGGCACTGGCAGTCTCACCATTTTTCAGGGCAGCAATCAGGAGAAAAGGCCAGAACCCAAGCGGTTAGCTGTGTACCACCCCACCTGCAGAGGAAGAAAATAAACCTGTGATAAATCCATAGTAATAAAAGCTGATGTGTTAGTGACAGTGGGATTTTGTGAGGTCAGACTGATGATGGTTCGTGCTTATGGGAGCCAGCAGAGAAGTCCCGTTTTCCCCTCACTGCTGCCTCGGTTGCACGCCCTCCAGAGCCTGACTTGCAGGGAGAGATGGCAGAGATGCAGCTGCATGGGCAGAGCCAGGGGGGGCTCGGGGTTTGGATGATCTCCCAGGCTCAGGGACTTCTCTGTGTTGTTTCTTCGAGCATCAGTCACTCAAACCCTGGAACAACAGTGGAGAACTTGCTGCTGTGGGGAAGGACTGCAGCCTTGGGGATGTTTTACTCATTTAAGTCGCTCTGCCAAGTGAGCAGAAGTGTTTACCTGCTCTTTGCTTCAAAGCATGACACCATCCTGATGCTGTGGCTGGGAGCTGAACTTGATGGCAGCTCTTGATTTTTATTTTGACCCCTGCCTCTCTCCCTTGACCCAACAGAGGCAGGTGAAAAAGGAGCCCAGCTGTCAGGTGGCCAGAAGCAGAGAGTGGCAATTGCCAGGGCCTTGATCCGAACCCCTCCCATCCTAATCCTGGATGAAGCCACGAGCGCGCTGGATGCAGAGAGCGAACATGCGGTGAGTGGGTGACTCGGGTGTTTGGGCCAAATAGGCAATCTGGGTTTGGAGGAAAGACTGTAGCTTCAGTTTCCAGCCTGTGGACAAGCTTAGTCTTGACGTGGTGCAATCAGAGGTTTGGGTAAGACGCTAATTCCTGAGCAGGAATTTGCTTCCAACACTGCTGTAGCTACCAAGAAGGGAATAATCCTGTGCTCACAGCAGCCAGCACCTGACAAACCTGATGAGATAGGGATCTCTGCCGATTTTTTTTATATATGGAAAGTGTTAATTGGCATACAGCAACTCTGCAGCCTTTTAGGACAGGATAAGGAGGAAGACCCTAAAAAATGGTACTGCAGCAGGGGGAGAGTAGGACTGCCTGAGATAAAATCCCAGCTGAGGCACCAAAGAAGCCACGTTTGCAAGAAAGGCACTGAGCTTTCTGTGAACTAAGCTGGTTTATCTGGCTGGGACATGACAACCAAACAGCTCTACCAGTAGCAGTTTGGCCTCACTGGTTTAATGACATGAGGGAAAGCTAGTTCAAAGTTGAGACGTGAGGATGTGTCTCCCGGTCCCAGAGGATGAGTGCTGCTGGTCCACAGTGTGGGCCAGTGCAAGCATCTGACCTTGGAACAGCTCGCTGACTCACAGGTCCTCAGCCACGTATGTGGTATCTCATGCCAGCCAGGGGCTGGTTTTGGCTAGCCAGGGTTGCCAACGTGAAATGTGTCTGGTGGCCATCTGCCTGCCTTTAGACCTTAGTGCTATTGTCTGTCTCTTGGCTGGAAAACAACTCTCTCTTGCTCTGCCTTGATACACCCAGGAAATAGCCCCACTTTTCTGAGCAGATGCGTTTACCAGGTATTGGCTTCCTGCAGTCCATGCCAACACCATGTGGCTTCCAAATTTGGGGCCCAGCTCTAACAAGACCCAGCTTGCAGGATCAGACCTGTGTGCATACCGCACCTGCAGGCTGGCTGGACTGAGACAGTCTTTTGGGCTGCACGGCGAAAGCCGGGAGCTGGGATGGACGTGCTGGTGCTGGTAGTGCTGCAGGGAGTCTCGTGGCCGCTGCGTAGCCAGAGGAGAGCAAACCTCCTGTCCAGAGGTTTCTTAACACAGACCACAACGCTGCTGTTCTCCCTTCCGAAGTGGAGCCAGGGACACTCGGACACTAACGTCTTTTCCTTCCACGCAGATTCAGCAGGCGATTTATGGCGACTTGCGGAACCACACGGTGCTTGTCATAGCTCACAGGCTGAGCACTGTCGAGAAGGCACACAACATCATTGTGCTGGACAAGGGCCGCGTGGTGCAGCAGGGCTCGCACAAGGAGCTGATGGAAGAAGGAGGCCTTTATTCCAAGCTGGTGCAGAGACAGATCCTGGGGCCGGAGGGGAGCGGCGCGGACAGTCACCAACCTGCAGCCCGAGGGGATGCAGTGAAGGCGCCTGGCGGGTTGGAGGAAGAGTTCAGGATAGACCATTCCCTGCCGGCCGTGGCACAGGACGATTACAACAACACGGCTCACAAGTGAGAGCGGCGATGGCCGGCGCTCGAGACGCTTGCTGGGACGCCGCGACAGGAGGCAGCTTGGCGACGGGCTCGCGCGCTGCAGAACGCCGCCCGTTTGCTCACCCCGCGCGCGTCACACACCCGTGCACACACAAACACACACTATAGAGCTTCCTGCATTACAGTCCAGCGGGCAGATGCCAGCTGGTTAAACAGGGAAATGGATTTATTCGAGGGAGTTGGGTCTTCAGCAATTCCCAGGGTTTCTACTGGGTTTCTTTTCGTACTACCAGTAATTCCTCTCAACTGGGACTTTTCTCCCATTGATATGCATGTGTAACTGCTATTAACTGTAATGGATGTTAAATGCATGCATGGAGGGGAAGATTGAAAACCCCTTCAGGAATTTCAGGGGGTGGCTTTTATGGCTGGATAGAAAAACAGTGACTGTAAAACAAGGTCCTGCTCCCACTATCAATCTATGGGGCCAATCCAAAGTCTGCTGAAGTCTGTAGGGAGCTCCCTTTGGCTTCAGTGAAAACTGGATCACTCCCGTGGGGCTGAACGCCGGGAGAGTTTTGCACTGAGTGCCTGCAGGCTCAGGCTCACAACCATTGCTGCTGAGCTTGTATCATGTAGTAACCATCCTTGCTGGAACGAGCCAGGGAACCGGGAGGCAGATGTTGCTTTCAGATTTGCTCTTGGTGCTTGGTGGGTGTTTGTTTTTAAGGATGAAAAGTTTTACCATAATTGGGTTGGGGTTTGGGGTTTGGGGTTTTTCGTTTCTTTTTTTTTTTTTTTTTTTTTTTAATACGTTTGTGTGCACTGTGCAATGTCTGTCTGGCTCCAGCATCCACTGAAAATTGGTCTGTTATTTTGGAATTTTTTTAACTCACAACCCCGGTGCTGGTTTGAAAAAAACACTACTAAAGACAGGCATAAAATACTAAAAGACAGCACTTTATAAATCCCACCAAAGCTTTGTTCAGCTTCAGGCCATGCTAGCGACTTCACTGCATGGGTAACCCGTACAGTCACTTTCCTTGAAGTCCGACTTTAGCTGCCTGAACTTTAAAATGTGTTTCTTTGAATATTATTTATTAACTTACTTTTCGTATGAGGGATAGAAAGAAATAAGTTGCTCCTAGCCCTTTTGGGTAATGGCTTAATAGTGTTATCCTGCCATAGATTGGTGAAGAAACCTATGCAGCCAGGCAGGTGCTGTTGAAAAACAGCATTTATACAGGGAAGACTGACTTCAGACTGTGCACAGTTAAGAAATTATCTCAAGCACTTTACCTCTCATGTTTTCTGATATTTGAATGCTGCTGTGTTTTACTTTTTGGCAGGTTTGCATTTTTGTTGTTGGCGATGTTTTGTTTTTGTTTAGTGATGTTTTACAAACTCTTTAGTGTCCTTGAGGAGGGGTGCTCAAAAAATAAAATACTACCTCTGCCACTCAACATCGAGCCAATCTAGTGGGACTGGTTTTTGCATTCAGGGTTTTCAAGGTCATGTTCATCTGAGATGATGGCTGAATACAGCTGCACACTGCACATGTTCTGGCTCCCTTGCAGGGAATGACAAGAAGAACCTACAGAGAATTAGGTTTGTAAAAGGCTTCAGCATCTGATAATGGCCGTGAGCCATAGCAGTATGTATAACCTGTTTAAGAACTTGTTTTCATTCCGGATCCCATCCGGTAGTCAGTAGTCAGTCTCGCATGAAAGGGCAGGTAATCTAACCCATTCTCAAAGCACAGTGCTTTGTGACTGGAATCTTTTCAGCTGCTTGCTTTTGTGATATGATAAAAATCTGTGCCTTGGAAGAACAAGAAGAACGAGAGCTCTTTTTGTCTTGTCTCCCTCGACTTAGGAAACCTCTGTTGCTCTGAACTCCTCAGTTCACCCCTTCAGTAAATGGCCATGCATTCCTGCTTGATCAATATCTGCACTGTGGGTATGAAGAGGTTGGGAGTTCCACCCAGTGCTGGCAGGCAAGGGATTAATTCTGCATTTTTATCAGTACCTGGGAGCAGAATGTGGCCAGCGGTTCACAGAAGTGGAATTAATTTCTGCTTAATTAAAAAACTGGGGGGGGGGGGGCGGAATGGGTTACCTAGGAACTAGGGAAGCCGACTCACCCTGGGAAGTGCTGGTAGGACAATGCTTGTTAGCACACGAGATGCCAGAAAAGAGAATTTGATTGTATCATGTGTGTCCCTCCCAGGCAGTGCTGCAAAAAGGGGAATTGGAGGATACAATCAGATTAGTTTTATTGCAAAGACAACAGTGAATGTCAGGAAGGGAGCCCTGCTTCCCAAGCCTGTTGTGATGATAATCCCATCATTGCACTCCCAGGTCAGGCCCAAACAGCTTCAATTGAAATGGCACATTGGAAACGGCAGATTGTCTCTGCTGGTGGCACCAGTCCAAGCTGATAACAGGGCCCGACTTTGTTCATTGCCACAGGTGCTGAATTCTCTCTTTCGCATCCAGATAACTCAAGGCTACTTTTCCACTGAGCCTTACATCTTGTGGCTTGAACAAGTCCCTTTACTGTGCTGTTGGCATGTGGCAAGTGGATGCACCTGTATGCTAAAGCCATGAGGGCTTTCTTGTGGCCTGGAAGCCTGGTGGGAGCTCCACGTGCCACCGGGGATCCAGCAGTACTAACCTAATGCAGACATTTCTGCTGGCTCAGCACAAACCCTATGACTGTACAGAAAATCCTGCTTTTCAAAATCATTCCAACTATGACTTCTTTTCGAAGTGAAAATCAGGGTCAGAGATGCCTGTTAGCCAACCTAATCCCAGCAGTGATGATGAGCTTAATTTGGTGCAGCAGTGGGAATTGCTCCAGTGCTGGAACACGGGCTGCTTCCTGGAGCTGCCCCGTCCCTTGGGCCTTGCTGCCTGTGGGCAGTCTCTGTGTTTCAGGCTATTCTTCTGGAAACAAGGCCACTGGTCCCTCTGAAACCCTGAAGTGTAAAATTTTGTGGCTGCGGGTTTGCCCAGAGTTGACGTTTACATGGGAACGCGAACAAAATCTGTTCAGGAGCTTCTCAGTTACAACCATGCAGATAAAAAGTTTCTTGTCCTCAAAGGGAACAGTCGTCTTCACAGGGAACTCAGAGGGGTTTATCTGAAACCTTGACTTGGTAAGCACAGCTTGAAGACTGTCATGGCAGAATTGGAAGCAATTAGGCGTTTGAAAGCACGATTGATTACAAAGTTTGACTGTATAGTCCATGGCAGGTTGTTTTCTGCACTATTAATAAGCTCTCAGCATTCCCTGCAATAAGTATAACCACAGCTTTACTTGATTTAAACATTGGAGAACCTTATCCAAGCTGAAGTTCCTACATCTAGATCCTACAGTCCTACTGATTCCCCAAGGACATGCAATTACCCTGTACCTTTGCACAGACAAGGTATGTGGCTGACTGACCCAGTAAATGAGAACACTGTCATGGAAAAAACCACAGCTGTGATTATTCCAACAACTTGTCTCCCAGTGCACCAACCTCTGCCTCAATAAGGAACTGTGTTTGTTTTAGTGGCTGCACTTTCTAGGCCTTCAGCAGGTCTGGAAATGCCACAAGCAAATAGACATAGTGCTTCTAGCTCAGGTTCAGAGATGTGTCTTAGTCTGGGGAGGAAAAATAGTATCTGCCTTTTCTACTCTAGTTTCACTGTGAGCTTAAGGCAAAGAAAATATTTGCAGGTATATAAACCTGCTCCTCTTGTCATGCCTGTGGCTCCCTGAAAGGAAGGAGTATAGTACTAACAATTAATTCTTGCTCTCTCTCAGACAGCAGGACCACTGTTTCTCTCCCAGGATGCTGAATACGCAGATCATTTTCATGTATGAAGGAATCCGGATTATGAAATCTAAACAGAAGTATGGACTATGATTAATATATAGAAGGAAATTAAATTGCAAATAAGCCTTAAAACTTATCTGTCCATTGAGCAACCAGATTAATAAGGGTTAATAAACGCCAAAGATTAGACTTGCAAATTCAGTCTCTACATAACCAACCAGTTTTTCCAGGAAAAGAAAAGAAGTTGTTGTGAAGGTGACTTGCAAAATATGTCTAAAGCTAATAAATATGCATGGGTACAGTGCTACTGACCGTAAAAGGATATGAGGTGACAGAAGGAAATCCAAGATCAAGTTTAAAAAGAAATAAAACCTAACATCTAATTTAAACTAGGCTGGATGCCAGTTCTCCCCAAGACTGAAGCCTCACTCGTTTTTCACCATGACATGGTTTCCACTGTAATCTTCCCAATTTTTTTGTTCCATTTCTCCTGTAATAAGAAATCCTGACTCTGTACTTTGCCTGCTTAACAGTTTTAGTGTTCATGAATGCTGTCACCCTTCAAAAGGATTTCAGCAAAGGCAAATAGGCAGCGGGGCTAGGTAGCTGATAAATCTCAGCTTGCAGCACTGCAATATTTGATAATCCCTGTAGTCGAAAATCCTAGTTTATCTGCAATGCTTCATATTCTGTCCAAGTGATGTGCTGTCACAAAACCTTTATCTTTCATGAAGGCTGCTGAATGGAAAGGCACTTTCCTACTTGTCCAAATAGAATATATAATTATACAAAAGCAGCTGACCCCTCTCTTGTCTCTCAACCTCAGCTGCTTTTCTGGCCAACCTGATAACTCAATCACATGCAGATGCTGATCAAAGTACTCAAAAGCAGACCAGATGTTTAACACAGACACTTCTCTAACATCGCCAGAACCCAAACATATCTACATAGGAAGAAGTGGTATTTTCAATATATGTTGTACTTGAGCACAAATGAGTTATGTTCTCCCTGTGCATTTTGTGAGGATGTCATTGTTCTGCATTATGCAGCTCCTAACTTTAATACAGATTACTGTTGACTAATTCAAATAATCCATTCCTTGATGTCTAGAGCAGTGAACTTCCATCAACCCCATGCAACATAAACAAAAATTAGGTAGTTACAGAAAAACTCCTTAGGTCACTGTAAACCATCTT